GGGTTGGTACACAGGTGTGTAAAAGGTTGAACTCAAGTGAACTCAAATGAACAAAGTCTGAGACCATCTTGACGTTCTGCCTCTCCTCAGCACAAATTCTGATCTCAGCCTCTTTCTGGAAGGGTGTCAATCTTCCCTTCAGGGATCCCTTACCTCACAGCATGCACATAGGCACATATAATGGGTGGGCTCAACAAAAGCTGTTTTTTGCAATTTTAATACGTAACCCCTTAGTAGCAATAGTTTGTCTTCAGAAAGACTAATCCTTACAGACTAAGAAGAGAACTCACTCTCATCATCCACCAAACCCAAGGCACCAGTATCCACTCAGTCAGCAGACACTTCTTGAGCTGTGCTCCTCGAACCTATAAGCTTAGATAGGAAATTGCTAATAGACATTTAGATGACTCAGCCATGGAGTCCCTCTGAAGGACAGGTTTCCCTAGGAGGTGGCACAAGCATGGAACAAACATGTTCCAGTTAGGTTAAAAAAATCTCTCCCACTGCATCACCAGAACTTATCAGGAAAGAAGAGTCAGCCTGCCCAGACTCCCCCGGAACCTTGAGCTACATGGAGGCAAAGGCCTGGCATGGGAGGAGGAGGCAGTACTTTTGTCTCACTTTGGTTTTGCACACACCAGGGCTTTCCTCTGGAATGTCCCTTCATACCCAGACTGCCTGGCCATCTCTCCCTCATACTTCAGGCACAAATGGCTCTTCCCACACTTCTCCCAGTTGCTCCCATCCCACTTGGAACCCACAGTTTTCATAGCAGCGTTCAACCAAAAGGCACAAACCTTGTTTTAGGCTTCTTTGTAGGTGCCCCAGCACTCAACACAGAGCTTTTTTGCTGAGCAAATGAATAAGGCTCCCTGGAGAGAGGTTAAGAAGAGAGTGGAAACCTTATTCACCCAAGGGTAGTAGTAGTAGTAGTAGTAGTAGTAGTAGTAGTAACCAGTTGAAGCCATAAGAGACTCTTGGGTCCAGGCCTCACTCTTCTCTGTAAAATGGGAGTTGAAGTGTCTGTTCTTTTCCCCTTGTGATTCCAGAAAAACCAAGAATTAATTCATTTAGTCAGCACACATTAAACCAGTGATGGGCAAGAGTCCCTCAGGAAGTAGAATGCCTAGCACATGCACCCACGGAATACACAGGTTGAGGCACACCCTCCCCCTGATACGAGGGCAGAGACAGATGAAACCTGTTCCACTGCCCCCCTTTGAGCCTCAGTCTCTTGTTCTGTAAAATGGAGGTAATGTCTACTTCTCTGAATTATTGTAAGGATGAAAGAGAGATCTGTAAAATAGCAAAGCTAATGGCAGCTGCCACTACTGCTGCTATGACTACCATTATTTTTATTATTATTCCATTCTTTGCAACTTATAGCCATTAACTATACTATACTATAGCCATTAACTCATTTTAATCTTCATGTGGGGCTGACTGAGCATGTATGGCTCTTCCCATTTTATAGATGAAGAAACCAAACCTCTAAATCAGTAAGTGTTTTACTCAAAGTCAATCAACTAATAAGTGGCAGAGCCAGGACTCCAAACTAGGTCCTGTAACTCCTGCCCTCTCCATCATACTGCCCCATAGATGAACATAGGAGTTAATGGAGCAGATGTGATGTGGTGGAATAAACAGGAAAGAGTTGTTGCAGGTGAGACTTAGGATGGTCTGGTAGTGGTTGACATGGTCAGGAGAAGACGTTCTGGTAAGGGGAAGAACCCAGCAAGGAGGCCCTGGAGCTGGCTCAGCATGTGGAGAGGCTGCCAAACCTGTTGGAGGTTTCAGAGATGGGACCGGCCAGAGAAGGGGCTGAGCTGCCTGCTCAGGGAACCTGACACCATCTCAAGCCCAGAGAGCAGTGGTCAGGATATGGTCAGGGGCAGGGGCTCCTGAGACCATGTATGGAATGGCTGAGCCAGCCAGACTGGAAGACTGCAGTGCGGTGGCTTTCCAGGTGAGGCGAGGGAATGAGGAGATGTTGTGGTAGGGGAGAGCCAACTCCTTTCTCTAAACTCCTGAAGCACCAGTTCATGCTCAGGAGCTAGCCAGAGCCAGGGTTAAAGCCCAGGTTCATTTATTTCCCTGTGTAGTCTTGAGCAGGTCACCTAACTTCTTTATATATATTTCCTCGTCTGTAAAATGGGAATCAGGTTACCTGCCCTGCCAACCTCATGGGTTCATAACCAGCCTCAAATGAAGTTATGTCTACAGAAGTTCTTTACAGACTCTGAAGTGCTAGCAGAGGAAGTTGCTGCATTTGCTTGTCCACAGAGCACCAATACCTGTGGCCACATCCCAAATGGGCCTATCCAGGTCTCTGTCTGTCCCAGCCTCTGCCCCAGCCTGACAGAACCCTGAGGCACCCAGCCTTGGTCCTCAGCCACCCTGCCAACCACACACCCCAGGGCCCGCCTTCCCCGGTCTTTCGTAGCTGCTTCCATTTTTCATTCTGTCGGACGCCATCTGCTTGGCCATTTTTCTCTTCAGATATTATTAGAAATATCCAGAGTTGTAATTGTTTAATGGTTGGCATTTTGCCTGTTTCACAGGGAGCCCAGATCAAGCCCACCCCAGACTCATGCCCTGGGTCTGGCAGAATTGACCAGGGACAGCTGTGCAGTGGAGTCTGCTTGGCATTATAAAGAGCTCTCTCCCAGGTGCATTATTAGAAAAGAAGGGGGAAAAGATGGCCCCTGGCGTAATCCAATTCCGCATTCTCCATGGTGTTTTTGAACTGCATAGCCCAGAGGCATGCAGCTCTTGGTGGGCTGGGAAGCTTCCTGAAAGAGAAGTCAAGATCAGAACCTGAGGTTCATGACACCTGGGGAACCCTGGTTCCCCAGGCCACCTGTCCGAGTGATGCCTGGATACTTTTGCCTCCCCAAATACCCCCATGAAGCCTGAATCCAGTTTTTGCTCAGCTTCTTTCCAACCTAGATTCTCAACTTAGCCAACTTTTGGAAGAGTGTGACTCCTTTCATATAACCCCTTCTGTCACCCTTGCCTCAACACACATCCACACATAATGTTCACAGAAGTCTAGCCTTTGCCATTTTACAGTATCTCCACCTCCCCAAATACCCCCACCCACAGGGTCTTGTTTCTGTCAGGACACTGGGGGCTCCCTCTCACCAGGCTGGGACTTCTCCATCTTCATCCCCAGCCTTCAGATACCTATGAGGTCTGTGGATTCCCATCATGGCCAGGCCTTCCAGAGGACCAAGCCAGTCAGTTTAGAGATGATCTGAGACCTAGCCCAAGGGAGAGGTTAGACAGTGTTTTCTCAGGCCCCTCTCAGGAGTCTCAGGGAGTATCTCCCAAGCAGGCAGAGTGGCTAGTCTGGTGTCCATGAGGTTGCACAGTTTTTTTTTTTTCTGCTGAGGCCAGAACTAGAAAGTATCTTAGGTAGAAGCATTAGAGATTGAGGTGACAAAGCCCACAGTGTGGACCTGAACTCCTAAGACAGGGATTCGAGACCTCTTTGATCTGATCCCACCCACAAGTACTCATGTTCATTCCTGTCTCTTCACCTCTGTCATGCTGCTGCATTTGCCCCCTCCAGATCCCACCCAGTCTCTGTGATCTGTCATCAGTCCCACTTCTTCCAAAAGCCTTCCCTGATCTCTCCAGCCGCTTCTTTGAAACCCAGCCACACAGATTATACCACACAGTATAGCATTTAGGATCTTTGCACCTCAAGAATGGACGATGCTTCCCTAAGACTGTCAACTCTTCCTCCATTGACTTGGTTTCCATGCCTTGTCCTCTGACATATATCCTTTTGCTCATCTCCCCTTAACGCTCTGGGGACCAGACCATATATGCTGTTCCATCTGCAGGATGACCTTGACATTGCACAATGGTCTCTCCCCTTCCTTCTTCTGACGGCCGTGTTTCCGTTTATGGCAACCCAAATTGATACTAGCTTTTGTAAGTAACCATATGTGACAAAAAAAGAAGACAGGTTTAGAGATGCAACTCTAACATCTCCACCAGTCAGCTGGTAATCTACTAGTTGTGTGACTTGGGCAGATCTCTTTATCTCTTGTTTCAGTTTCCTGTTCAGTATGATGGAGTTGAAAATAATATTTTCCACTCAGGATATGGGTCTTGAGTAATAAAATGTTGGCGATTTTTCCATTGGGCCTAGCAGATAGCATGTTTAATAAATGATTCTTCTGATTGTTCTGCCTCATTCTGTTCCTACTCTTATACTTGAGTGATGCTTCTGAGCCTGACTCTCCCACTCTGTGGTTGGGCACTTAATTTCCTCATCTTGCACATAGAACCCTTGAAGAGGACAGGTTAGCACTCACTCTAGCAGAGCTGAGCCCTGGGGAACCTAGTACGTGTTTATTCCCGTTCCCCTACCTCTGCCCAGTGGAGGCCATGTTGGTGGAGGTGCTAACCAGGTGGCTCACCCTTCCATGCCCTGAGCTCCACACTACCCTTCATTGGCTTCCAGAAAGTGCATTTGGCTGTATTTCCTAACGGCAGATGAGACCTTAGTTCCCCCAAATGGGAAAGAGTTCAGAGCTCACACCCCAGATCCCCAAGGGCCTGCCATGGGCTTCTGCCTCTCCCATTTGCATAGGGGCAGGCTCAGACTCCTGCCAGTGGTGAGTAGATGGGTTACCAGTGGAGAGCTAAAGTTCCTCTCGAATTCTCCTTCACCAGCCCCCCACCCCCTTCACCTCCATTCACCATCCACCCGCCTTTCAGTTTCCTTGGCAACGCTGAGTGCTCATCCTGGAAAACTTTATCCGAAATCTGCTCTGGGCAGCTTTCCAAATCCATGCTAACCTGATTAGGTGTCTCTAGGGGCCTTGCCAGCTAATCAGATTAGGCAGCACTAATGGTAGTGAGGACTTTGAGTGGGCGCAGAGCAGTAAAACATATTGTATACTTAGTGATAATTATCCTGCCTTTTGTGTCATTGATTTATCTGCCTCCCTCCCTGTCCTCCCGTCTTATGTGTTTGGCCATAGCGATCCGGAGGAAGGAGAATGGCTGGTACGACGAAGAACACCCTCTGGTCTTCCTCTTCCTGGGATCATCTGGAATAGGTAACTGGAAGTAGATCAGCCTGTAGGGAAGGAGAGCTGGGGGAGCCCCAGCTGCTATGGGCCAGAGTCACACGACCCACCTCTCATTCAAATCTAGCTCCCAGAACAACTTCCTCCAAATTACAGAGCCAGCAAGAGGATCATCTGGCACGTTAGGAACAGCTGGAATTATGCCCCTCTCTCTGGAAGCTGTGGTGCAGGACCTACTTCACCTGGAAGGCCAGGCCCTTGGGGTCCTGTGAGTCCTGGTCCAGCCACTCTGCAACCCCAGAGGCTGCCCTTTAGGAACTGAACCACCTCCACTGCCCAGTGCACCAGCCTTATCTAGTGTAGCCTGGGACATAACCCTCTAGGAAGCTAAAGAAAGCCCCTGATGGCCAGCACAGTGCTAAGTGCATAGCAAAATTGGTTGCAGTGAAATGGGTCGGGGATTTTTATAGCCATTTGGGCTGGGTTATCTGAGGCATTCTCACCCCCTCACTCTCTGCCCTCACAGATACTTCCCACTGCCACCACCACACCACCACCACCTCCCGTTGTCTTTTTGTTTTTCTCTCTCCCATTGTCTTGATAGGGAATTTCATGCATCTGTTGCCTCCTCTTCCCCTCTCAGCATCTTCATGGGTGCTCCCTCAGATGTAGGGTCCCAAAGGGTTACCATTACCTCACATGATACTATAGAACTTGACCCATACCAGATAGTGACTTCCAAAGCCTTGACCATCATGCCAAATGGCCCTTCAGAGCCACCACTTCGGTATTATCATTCCTTCTTTATGTTACAAAGCAAGGCTGTGAAGCCAAGGAGAGGTGCTTTTTATCCTCTCCCAGCCTCTATTTGGCCTGTGGCTCCAGGGCCTGGCTGGATGGCAAGACCGTGGGTGTCCAGAGAGATACAGTGCAGTGAGCCAGGAAGTCAGGGTGCTCCTAGGACAGGCAAGGTTTATGCTGGGCTTCAAAGGACAGGATGGCTCTGGATTGTAAGAGTCAACCTCTCACTCTTAGGATGCTGCTGTAGAGAAAAGGCTTCAATCCCCATCCACAAAAAATCAAGATGCAATGCAGACTTTGATTCTGGTCCCAGTTTTACCATTAATTCCCTTGGTGACTTTGAGAGAGTCACTGACCCTCTCTGAGCCTCAACATTCCCATCCATAACATACATTATTTCCAGCATCCATGCATTTCTAATATGCTTTCATCACAGGAGATAGTCATCTGGTCCTAACCCAACACTTCTCTTTTCCTTCTTATTAGGAAAAACAGAACTGGCCAAGCAGACAGCCAAATATATGCACAAAGATGCCAAAAAGGTAAGGGCTGGGATCTACGCCCAATTGGCAGGCCATGGAGAGCTCACCACTCCTGCTAGCCCAAAAAATCCTAGGCTCCCTGAATCTGGCAATAGCCAATCAAAAAGATGGGCCCTGGCCCAGGAAGCAGGCCTCAGCTATGGCCCCAACTTGGCCACCAATTGCTCCAGGAATTTGGGCAAGTTATTCAACCTCTTTGTGCCTCAATTTCTTCATCTGTGAAATAGGATGAATAATCCTTGCCCTGCCTGACTCTTGAGGCACTTGGGAGAACCCAGTGAGATTCATTTATACAACATTTCTAAGCATCTACTCTGTGCCGGGTATTGTACTAGATCCTGATAATACAGCGTTCATTAAGACACTCCCCTGCCCTGAGGAGCTCAGTCTTGAGGGGGAGACAGCTTTAGAAACATATCACTACTGTCCAGTGCCATCAAGGCCATGCTAGAGGGAGTCTCAGACCTGTAGGAGAAAAGTAGAAATAAGAGGATTTGCTTTTCTACATGAGCTTTTTTTTTTTTTTTTTTTTTTTTGGCGGTATGCGGCCCTCTCACTGCTGGGGCCTCTCCCGTTGCGGAGCACAGGCTCCAGACGCGCAGGCCCAGCGGCCATGGCTCACGGGCCCAGCCGCTCCGCGGCATGTGGGATCCTTCCGGACCGGGACACAAACCCGCGTCCCCCACATCGGCATGCGGACTCTCAACCACTGCGCCACCAGGGAAGCCCCATTCTACATGAGCTTTTAAACATGATTTCTTAATGCCCTAAGCTATGAGGTGGTCAGTCTCCTTTTTCCCATGACCCAGAGGCCTGGATTCTCCATAGGACAGGGCTGTGCCCATCCCCTTATTCAGACTCTGGCTTTCCAAGGCCTGCTCAGTTTGACTTTCTAGACTGACAGGAAATACTTTCACACAGACAGAAATGTCAGAGCAGTCCTTGGAGATTGCAGAAACATTTCAACTTAAAGCCACACATTCTTCTTCCTACTGGCCTTCCCAGTGTGGAGGCATCACAGGTTGCCCATGACCCTGGATGCCCTTGCCTACTTTCTGTGGAAAGCCTCCCCAGCTGAGGTGATGAGGAATTGCCCAGGCCTCCGCCAGCCAAACTGCCAGCAACAGAGTCCTGGCCACCTCCTTTCCTGCTTTTGCCTAGCTCCCCCTTCACCACCTCCCTGAGGGCCTGGCAGCCACAGAAACAAGGTAGCTCAGGCTGTGTCCTTCTGAGCTGCATTCATAGCCCCCTTCTACTGACTCGGCCAGTAGCTGTCTGTGAGCTGTCTCAACCAAAGCTAGAGCAGACCCACTCAACAGGCAGGCAGGCAGGCAGGCAGGCAAGAAGCAGCACATGGCATGCTAATATGCTCCAACCGAAATAGCGTTTTTAAGACAATTCATCAGGTTGGCAGCGATTGAAACAACTAGCACTCTGGAAAGGGCCATAAACTAGCAAGACTATTAGGGAAGATGCAGTTATGGGCAGGAACCACCTGATTAGGGATGAAGAATTCCGAGTGGTTTAATTTTAATACTGTCAGAAAGGTTAATATTTAATTACAAATCATAATCTCCTTATCCAAGCTGTCTTAATATGTCTTCATACACAGTGGAAGTAGAAGGAAGGTATCTGCTGACTTGCTGGTGTAGAAAGGAGAAGGGGCTTGATAAAAGACTGATGATGCAGGTCATTTTTCAGTTGGAGCATCTAAACAAGAGGCAGATTTCCATCAGTGCAGTGTGTCCTGAAAGCTGATGATGGCATCCTTCAGTACATGCCTCACCTAGGAGACGGAGTTAACACCGTCACCACTTGGAGTCAGTGGCCTGGGTGATCCAGGCTCTGGAGTCAGCCATTCCTTGGCACAGGTTCTACTGGTCCTAGACGGGTTGCTTTACCCCTCTTAAGTTTCAGCTCTTGCCTCAAAGTGAAGCTAATCAGTCCTGTGTCTAAGGTTGTCGTGAGCATCAAGTGAGATACTATGAATCACAGAGAACACAGGTTCTAGCACCCAGTAAGTGCCTGATCCCTTGTCTTATATTAATTCATCACTCTGTACTTTCCACAGCAGTACTCCCATCCATTGTCTTATTTGATCCTATAAGGAAGATAGCATAAATGCTAAATTAGACCCACTTTTTAGATGAGAGAACTGAGACCCTACAGCGTTAAGCATCCAGAGTCACCTGTTAGGGGAAGAAGTAAAATCAGAATCCAGTCTCTCAACTCTTCTCTCAGAACTGTTGTTCTCAGCCACAGGAGGAGGCTAGATTATAAACTTGTCCATTTGTCCCCATGTCACATAGGGAGTTGAGAGGCATGAGAAGCCCAATATAACCATGTATTTTATTTTTAAATCATAATTGTTGCTTCTATAAAACTTCTACCTTCACCAGCCCTGAGGACCAACTCATTACAGCATCTGTGTCTAGCATAGACATTCTCTGGACATGTAACAGGCATGTTTGAAACCTGCCTTCAAACTCTGAGGGTTCTGGGCTTCCCTGGTGGCACAGTGGTTGGGGATCCGCCTGCCAATGCAGGAGACAAGGGTTCAAGCCCTGGTCCGGGAGGTTCCCACACGCCGCAGAGCAGCGACGCCCGTGCGCCACAACTACTGGTCCTGCACTCTGGAGCCCACGAGCCACAACTACGGAAGCCCACGTGCCTGGAGCCTGTGCTCCGCAACAAGAGAAGCCACCGCAATGAGAAGCCCACGTACCGCAACCAAGAGTAGCCCCGCTCACGGCAACTAGAGAAAGCATGCACGCAGCAGGGAAGACCCAACGCAGCCAAAAATAAATAAATAAATAAATAAATAAAATTGAAAAATAAAACAAAATCTGAGGGTTCTGGACTGTAAGCTGTCTAACCAGGGTACCTGACATCACCAGGACCCACGGAGTGATGTGTGGGAAGTGTCATGTACAGGGCCCAGTGTAAAGGAGGACTGAGCACTGACCTGGGAGTTGGTGACTTGAATTCAAGTTCTGGCTCTCTGATCCTTAGTTTCCTCATTTGTAAAGAGTCACAATACCTCCAGACCTGGCTGCCTCTCAAGGACTTGTTTGCACATTTTCATAATTTCTTTTTTATTATTAATTTATTTATGTTTGGCTGTGTTGGGTCTTCATTGCTGCGTGCGGGGGCTACTCTTCGTTGCAGTGTGCGGGCTTCTCATTGCGGTGGCTTCTCTTGTTGTGGAGCACGGGCTCTAGGCACACGGGCTTCAGTAGTTGTGGCACACGGGCTCAGTAGTTGTGGCTCGAAGGCTCAGTAGTTGTGGCATATGGGCTCAGTTGCTCCATGGCATGTGAGATCTTCCCAGACCAGGGCTCAAACCTGTGTCCCCTGCCTTGGCAGGTGGATTCTTAACCACTGCGCCACCAGGGAAGTCCTGTAATTTGTTTACCAGACTTGTGAGCTTATTATTTTTCTCTCATTAACCTCTACTATTTCTCCCAAATTGAGCAGCTTTGTTAACTCCCATTATTAGGGTTAATAATCCTTGAGAAGAAACCTTAATGGCATTCCGTGATTTCATCCTGAAGTAGGGTGGTGAAGCCCTAACGACTGCAGTTATAGTGGCAGTATGATGAAGGGATCAAGAGCAGGGCTCTGGGTCCAATGCTAAACTACTCTGTGGAGTTGGCTGAGATCTCTGTTTACATCAGTTTTCTCATCTGTAAAATGGATTCAGTAATGGTGCCTGTCTCATTGGATTGTTATGAAGGTTAAGTGAGATAATGATGTAAAATGCTAAACACCATTCTTGGCACATAGTAAGCAATCAGTACATGTTAGATATAATTGTTATTATTGTTGCCTCACTTCTAGATAACCCTAAGGTAAGATCATTTGAAACCAAAATTATTCTAGCCAAGAAAATCAAGCCCTTAGATTTGTTGAGAGTTACTCAGCAAATCAGTAGGACTAGGATAAGAACCCAGGTAATTTGACATAAGCGTAAGTGAGCACTGAAGTCTGTACTCCCTGTTATCTTGGGGCATTGATTGACACTGGTTCTGGACACAAAGCTCAGAACCCTTCAAATGAAGATGCCAAGAGCCCAGCTGATTGATGGAGTGGGAAATATGAGGCAGGAGGGTAGAGTGGCTAAGAGCACAGGCTTGGAGCCAGATTGTCAAGCTTGAGTGACCTTGGGCAAGTTACTTTAATCTGTGGCTCGGTTTTCTCATCTGTAAGGTGGGAATGATAATACTACTTTTATCTCATAGACTTACACACATTCTAAGCCCTTTATAGCTTGCTTATTTAGAACATCGCCAGACACATAGTAAGCGCCCAGTGAGTGTCACCTATTATCCAGATACCCATCTCATGGCTTCCAGCTCATTGCTCCCTCTGGGCAGCACTCCCAGCTTCTCCATGTCTATCTTCCCACACTTCCTGAAGCCAGTGTTTCTCTTGGCCGAGCTGCCTGGGTCCCTCTGAAGATGCTTGCTGGCTAAAGCTCTATGTCCTCTGATAACACACCCTCATGACCTTAAGAACTTCTCCAAGGCCTTTCCAACCTCTTGGATTAGGTCCTCTCCTCAGGCCATGACATAAAGGAGAAACAGCGAGAGGGCATAAGGGCCTGAGTATATAGGAAGAAACTGCAGCTCCAAAAGGGAAAGCAGCCAAGGCCACACAGATAGTGGAGAACTGGGGCTGGAAGCCAAGCCTTGGGCTCTTTCTGCCACCCTATACCTCACGTACAGAGTGACAGGACAGAGAAAAAAATAGAATACATCACAGACTGAATTTCTGGCCAGCAACTGAACTAGAGTATAGCCTGGATTTCAGACATAGCTACCTCCCTCTCAGGGTCTTGGCGCGCCCTCCCTCATCCCCAGCTCTCAGGAGAAGCATAGGCAGTGGGTGCATTCTCTTAGATGGAAGCATGTGCCAGTAGGAGAGGAGCCTGAGGAGTCTCTGGGGAACCCTGATCTGGGTGGAGAGACAGGGCCTCTGAATGCCCTTATAATGCCCTAAATCCCTAAATTCTTCATGAAAAGTCATGGGCATTCTGCTTGTTTTAACTCGCAAATCCCACTCCAGAGGGTGTGCTCTTCCCCTGGGGCTAATTATGGTCGGGCCTCACCCCAGGGGGCCAGTTCCCCGGAAATCAGCCCTAGGCCCAACCATGGAGAGAGAAGGGCTGCAAGCTACATTCTAGATAGCTCTTAAGTGAAAACATGTAAATAAATGAGAAAGATTTATTAGTTTAAAAGAAAAGTAGGGGGCTTCCCTGGTGGCGCAGTGGTTGAGAGTCTGCCTGCCAATTCAGGGGACACGGGTTCGTGCCCCGGTCCGGGAAGATCCCACATGCCACGGAGCGGCTGGGCCCATGAGCCATGGCCGCTGAGCCTGCGCGTCCGGAGCCTGTGCTCCGCAGTGGGAGAGGCCACAACACTGAAAGGCCCGCATACCGCAAAAAAAAAAAAGAAGAAAAAAAGAAAAGTAGGGACTTCCCTGGTGGCGCAGTGGTTAAGAATCCGCCTGCCAATGCAGGGGACACGGGTTCGATCCCTGGCCTGGGAAGATCCCACATGCCGCGGAGCACCTGGGCCCGTGTGCCACAATTAGCCTGCACTCTAGAGGCCACGAGCCACAACTACTGAAGCCCACGTGCCTAGAGCCCATGCTCCACAACAAGAGAAGCCACTGCAATAAGAAACCTGCACACCGCAACAGAGTAGCCCCTGCTCGCTGCAACTAGAGAAAGCCTGCGCACAGCAACGAAGGCCCAACGCAGCCAAAAAATAAATAAAATAAATTTATTTTTTTAAAAAAACTGTGATAAAAAAATTTTTTAATAAATAATATAAAAATAAATTGGTGCAGCCACTGTGGAGAGCAGTATGGAGGTTCCTTAAAAAACTAAAAATAGAGTTACCGTGTGTCGCAGCAATCCCTCTCCTGGGCATATATCCAGAAAAGACGAAAACTCCAATTTGAAAAGATACATGCAGCCCAGTGATCATTGCAGCACTATTTACAATAGCCAGGACATGGAAACAACCTAAATGTCCATCGACAGACGAATGGATAAAGAAGATGTGGTACATATATACAATGGAATACTACTCAGCCATAAAAAAAAGAATGAAATAATGCCATTTGCAGCAACATGGATGGACCTAGAGATTATCATACTAAGTGAAGTAAGTCAGACAGAGAAAGACAAATATTGTATCGTACACTTATATGTGGACACTAAAAGAATGATACAGATGAACTTATTTATGAAACAGAAATAGACTCTCAGACGTAGAAAACAAACTCATGGTTAACAAAGGGAGAAGGGGGAGAGGATAAGTTAGTAGTTTGAGATTAACATATACACACTACTATATATAAAAAAGGTAAGTAATAAGGACCTACTTATAGCACGGGGAACTGTATTCAATATCTTGTAATAATCTATAATAGAAAAGAATCTGAAAAAGAATATATATATGTATATATGTGGGTGTGTGTATGTATAACTGAATCACTTTGCTGTACACCTGAAACTAACACAACTTTGTAAATCAACTATACTTAAAAAAAAAGAAAAAGGGGCATGTGCCCACATAGACTTGCAAGGTTGAGGGCACCATGGAGCTGTCTGGGTGCTTGTTGCTCCCCTCCATCTCATCATGATCCCACGCTGATGGTGACTGACTTTGTCCATGTCAGCCTGCCCCACTCAGGTGCTGCTAGAGACCAGAGACATAGCTCCAGTGCTTGGCACACACAGTATGCCCTCAGGAAATGTGGGATGAGTGGATGATGTGGTGATCAGACCCAGTAGAAGCCTGAAAAAAGAGACATTCCAAGCCAGATTTAAGGCAGGAACACGACTTGGGTTTATTAAGGTAGGGCATGAGGGAATCGTGGGGGATGAGTGGACAGAAAAAGGAGGCAAGGAGCCAGAAAAAACTATATCATGAAAATGGGATAGAAAATCTTGGCTTGGTGTGGCTTAAAAGCCGAAATATATTTGAGATCTCTCCTCCTTAACCCTTCCCCCTGCCTTCTTCAAATGGACTCCTGCTTGTTTCCACACAGGGTTTCATCAGGCTTGACATGTCTGAGTTCCAGGAGCGGCATGAGGTGAGTGAGAGTCCTTGGTGAAGTGTGGTTTGGAGAGCCTGTCAACAGGGCTCTGCCTGGCTATTTTGATGTGACTTGTCGATTAGGCCTGAGATAATTCCAGCAGCCTTGGGATTTGTCCTTTGCGGGGAGCATATGTACACAGCAGGGTCACTGATCTGTTTTGCATACGATTTGCTCTGAAGAGTAAACACAGAAAAGATCATCTGCTCTCCCATCACAGCAGGATTCCTTCCACCCAAAGAGACAACCTGATTGTCCTTGTTGAGACAGGCAATCTTAACAGTATATAAAGCCATCTTACCGTTGCATGTCCCATATTGGAAACTAAAAGCATAGAAAGGCCTTCCTAACTTATTTCCTTCCTTCCATCAGGTGGCCAAATTTATTGGGTCCCCACCAGGCTACATCGGCCATGAGGAGGGTGGCCAGCTGACCAAGAAGCTGAAGCAGTGCCCCAACGCTGTGGTGCTCTTCGATGAGGTGGACAAAGCCCATCCAGATGTGCTCACCATCATGCTGCAGCTGTTTGATGAGGTGCCAGTCAGCTTGGGCCGGGATGGAGTTGGGGACACCTGTAGGTATGGGGGGCTGTGAACAGCAGGACCCAGGGGCCCAGAATTGATCATTCCTCAAGTTGCTGCTTCCTCGTGTGTACGTTCAGTCACTTAGCAGGTGTGGCTTCACCCCCTCTCTGGACCGGGGCCCAGACTGGGCACCCAAGGAAGACCAGCACTGCCCAACAGTTGAAATGTTGTGGCTGCCCAGACTACCTTCGAAAGAGACAGAATGGAACAGGGGTGCCAGGGGAGAGAGAGAGAGAGCTGAATTTTTAGTTCTAGCTCTGCCCCATCTCTCGGCATCAGGGACCTCGTTTGACAAACAAGGAGGCTGGATCCAATAAGCTCCAAGAACCTTTCTGGCTCAGACAGCTCCTGCTCCTCCCCATGTCAGCCATCATTTTCACCAGTCCTTTAAAACGCCAGGGACGTTGCTGCTGTCTGTGATGGTGACCATGATGATGGAATGGTGGTGCCCTGGTTCATGGAACCGTCTTCTCCTGAGGAGCTCCAGGCTGGCCACAAGCAAGGACAGTCTCCCTCTTAACTGGTGAAATGAGCTCTAAATGAGAACAACTTCCTCTTTTTCAGCACAGTCTATGTAATAGGCCTGTGCTAAAGACTTTACAGACGTTCTTGCTAATCATCACAATAGCCAGGCAAGGTACCAATCATTTGTTACAGATGAAGAAACTGAGGTTCAGCAAGGTTATAAATGACTTGCCCAAGGCCACAGAGCTACTGTGTGGAAGAGCCAGAAATGGGCTGCAGATACATCTGGTCCCAGAGCCCCAGTTCTCCCCATCTGTACCAGTCCTTATCTTGAGCAGCAGAGGGAGAGCTTATGATCGTGGGAGGGGCTGCCATCCACCTTTTCCAGGGGTCCTGCAGAACTGGGGATGAGGCCTCCCATCTGCTCCCATGCAGGGACTATATTAGCCAGCACATGGCCGGATGGAGTCCAGTCCAGGGAAAATGTCCAGCCCCATTTTCCCTCCAGCCCTGGGAAAATGGAAAGAGGTTTGCTGCCCATGTCAAAGTGCACTAACAAAATGCAGGAATGGATACCCGTGGACCAAATAGCACATCAGGTACCAAGCCAGGAAGAACCAGATCCAAATGTCCCCACAGCTGCCCACTGCCTGTCCCACCTGGCCCAGCATCCTTGCCCCTGCCCCAGTTTATTGCTCTCTTCCTAGGCTCTCATCTGCTCCCTGTCTCGAGACCCACCCCCCACCCCCACTGAGGAATGAAGGCCAAGCCTTCAAAGGTCACATATTCTGTTTCCCGCACCTGTGCTCTGAGACCACCCCGACCCCGACCCCCGCTGCCGCCTTCTAGCCTCTTGGTGGGATTCAGGTACACAGCTGTGGACCAGACCCAAACCTGCCCTCTGGGAACTCCCTACCTAGTAGACAGCAGAAAGGAGATATGATAAAGTTGACATTTTTGTACTTTGTGTGCAGGGCACTGTTATTGCATGTATGAACTCCTTTAATCCTCCCAGAAGGAGGATTGGTTCCCAGAAGATGGTTATTATTACTGACTCCATGTAACAAATGTAGAAACTGAAGTAAAGTGAGACGATTTATTCACCCATGGTCACACAGTTGGGAAGAGGAAATCCAGGATTTGAACCCAGGCAGTCCAGTTCCAGAGCCTGCAGCTAAAATAGTAACTACCATGCAGCCAAGGCCAAAAGAGAACAGTAGATCTGGAATGAAGCATTCACAGGAAGGGAGAGCCCGGCTTAGGGAAGGTGAGCACAGCAGCCTGGTTGGCCTCTCACTTCCCTGGAGAGGTTCCTGGTCCAGAAAGAGGGAAGGCAACTGCTGACTGAAATACAACCAACCCCACCTGGAAAATGCTTACCACTCCCGTGTGTAAGCCCTGTCCACCCCACCCACTGCTGCTGTCACTCCACTGACTACCTTGGGGAGTTGATAATAACTCCTTCCTACAGCTCCCGACAACCTGCTACAGTTTCTGATGTTTATGCCCTTGCTTCCATTGACCAAAGCTGCCATCTGAGCTTACTTAGCCAGATTTATGCATGTTTGCTTCTTGAGGACAGAGACCTTGTCTCACTCCAACCATTCCCAGAACCCACAGCGCCAGGAGAAATGCCCTGTTGACTAACTTAATTCAGTAGTAATTCAGCAAACCTTCCAAGGATGAATAAGTATTTGCCAGGTGAACAGAGTGGAGAAGGGCTGGCAGTAGACACCCAGTGTGCAGAAGCACAGGGGCATGAGGCAGCCTCGTATATGCAGAGAACTACAGCTGTTCAGTATTGATCGACTGCAGAGGGAAAGGGAGAATAGAATGGTGGAGATAGGTGGATAAGGTAGACAGGGGCAGGTTAGAATGCCAGGCAGAGGAGTGTGGACTTTTTTGGTGAATAGTAAGAAGCCTTTAAAGACTTTAGGCAAGAGAGAAATATGATCAGGTTTTCACTTTATAAAGATCCTATAGGCAGCAGTGAGCAAATGGACTAGAAGGAAGAAGAGAGACCAGTGAGGAGACTGTTGAAGAGTCCAGGCGAGAGCTTGGGAGGCCTGCTCTCAAGCAGGGCTGTGAGATGGGGAGAGCTCCCGGGAAGTCCGCTGTGCAGGGCTCGGTGGTTGGATGTGAGGAGAGAGGGAGGGACCAAGGATGACCAGCGGCAGGATTTCTGGCCTGGGTGACCCATGGGTGCTGCTGCCATCAACCTGCGGCAGGGAACACAAGGGGATGAGCAACAGATTGATGAGGAAGGTAAGGAGCTAAGGTTTGAAATTGTTGAAAATGAAATGCCACAGCCAGATGGGTATGTCCAAGAAGTCGCTCATCAGTTTGAGCGGTCTGGAGTGTAAGAGAGGCCTGCACCGGAAGCAGAGACTCAGGAATGCTTCAGCACAGAGAGAGTACCAGAAGCCACAGGAAGGGGTGAGATCTCTGACCTAGTGAGAGTATGGTGTGCAGAGAAGAGAGGTAAGAACAGCCTTGCAACCTCTCCAAAAAGAGTCAAAGGCAGAATTGCCAGAGAGTAAGAGGCAAACCAGGAGAAGGTGGTTCAGTGCGGGGCAGAGAGGACAGAGGGAGAACAGACAGTCCCTGCCTCAGTGTTTCTGAGCGAGGGGGAGACAGGCAGCAAAGAGCAGTCCAGCCACTGTGGTGAGTGGTGTGCTAGGATAAGTAGGAGTTATAAGGGCACCTGATCCAGTCTGGGGGAATAGGGAAGCCCCCCCCCCCATATCCACCCAGCCCAGACCTCCCAAGCTTGGACCCAGAAAAGCAGAAGCCCTAATGCTCTCACCAAAACACCAAGCAGAGCTAATGCAGGTCACTTCTCTGTTGACCCCAGAGTCTGTAGCACAGGGCAGAAGTCCTAGGAAGCCCACCCACTGCTCCTCCCTTCAAGGACAGAAACGGGGGAAAGCAGCCCCTATAACCCTGAGGTGAGCATTCACGCGCCACCCAGGATGCGTGCACTCCAGTCGTTGCTGAGAGGCAGGACAGCAACAGCTCCCTCTTTGGGACACATTTTCTTGCCAGGGACTCTGAGGAGAAGGAGACGTGAACAGTGTGAAGGTCACCCTTTGGGTCAGTAATACACTGCACCTGCTCCCCTCACCCACCTGGGACCCATCCTCAGGCCCAGTTATGAGCAGAGCTTTGATCTCTCAGAAAGAAATGGCCACTGGTTATTGCTCTGGCCAGTACAGCAGTGTGTGTGCTCAGTCCTCAGGGATGAGCTCTGCGAACACACACAGGGTCATCTGCACGCACTTGGGCACATCACACATGCACGCAGACATGGTCCCCAAAACTAGAGTTGCCCTTAGTGGATTCTGTCGTGTTGTAACCCATAAGCAGGGGGTGAAGTAGGAAGCTAATGGCCAAGCTCAGGAACATCTGCTTGCACCCTTGCCTTCTCTTCGTCCCTCCCAAGGCTGGGACGGGAGAGTGACCAGGATTTGGATCTCGAGGCCCCCGTTGAATAGACCCCCTTGGAACTAACACTTTCTGAGGCCTGTGCCAAGGTCCCATGTAAAGTGAGGCAGAAAAGCACTTGGTACTGTGCCCAGTACACAGTAGGCGCTCAGTTAATGCACATTCCTTTTTTACCTCTGAGGGCCAGGGCTGGTCTGCCTTTGCATTGGCTTTAGAACCAAGGGCTGACCTTGAGTGAGGCCCTCGCCACCAGGGAAAGGGGAACACTTGAGGAGGATTGGTTACCTGAGGCTGGGGCAGGGCCCAGCATCACTGGCTTGGGCAGGTGCCAACAGGCTGAGGTCAGTGACCTTTCCCCAAAGCCATGTTCTCAAACTTGGCAGGAGTTATGCTTTTGCCTGCAACCCAGATGAGTTCCCAAGAAGGTCTGCCTCTCCCCACACCTGTCCCGGTAGCTTGTTTCCTGTCAGGATCAAAGGATGCAAACTGAATTTGGCAGAATTCTGAGAAATTTTTATTTAGGGAAAGAAAATTGCATGAGGCCTCATTTTATCCCACACTGTTGGTATGACCCCAGTAGCCTGGTGTACAGTGAAGGATATGGGTTCTGGGGTCAGACAGTTCAATAGAGCCTCAGCTCTACTGTATTCTAGCTGTGAGACCTTGTACAAATTACTTAACCTCTCTGAGCCTCAGCTTCTTTGTAGGGGTGGTGAGGATTCAAGCATTCAGCAAGCAAGTGTTGAGCACATGCTATATGCCAGACACTGTTCTAGGACCCAGTGAGAGCAAGACCCAGCCTCTGCCCTCATAAAGCGACCTTCTAGTGGGCAGAGTGCAACAGTGCACGGAAAGCACTAAGCAGGGCACCGGCAGTGGAAGTAGATGTGCCCATCAAAGTCAGACTCCATCAGTTCCTCTCAATGGGGCCCTGATTAGTGCTTTTTTATAAATGACTGCAAAGTGCTGTTGTACCATGCTAGCCTTGAGGTTTGCTGAGTGGGCAGAGTTCCTTGCCCTTGAACTGAATGGCCCTGGACAGCTACAATTTTCTCATTTTTCTGTCTCCTCCCTCTACTGTTGCCCCTTTTCTCTTTCCTTGTGCATCTGTTTCTAGTAAAGATGCTTTCTTCTGTGTCACCTCTAGAAAAAGCTAAAGATTCCAAGGCAATTTCCCAAGTTGGTTAAAGGAGGAACATTAACCAGGCCAGAGGATGGCTCTAAAGATGCAGAGATTATACCTGTTTCAGTTCATTTATCTGGTCCTCACAATGACCCTGTAGAATACCCTCCTCTGACCTCCTACAGCAGCGTGGCCTTACCTTTATCATAACATTTAACCACTGAATTGTGACTGCTTGTTTCCTGACCTCACTCCTTCTCTAGACTGGGAGCATGTCAGAGGCTCAGTGAGTCCCCAGTGCCTCAACACAGAGCCTGGCCCAGACTGGGCCTCCAGGAGAGTGTGTTGGATGGATGCATGTACAGTCAGGCTGGCTTCTGGGTGCCCTCAGAGATGCCAGACAGCAGGTGCAGTCTCAACCTGGGGCACTCCCAGCAGGTGAGCACTGTAGCCGAGGTGTGAGAACAGTGCTCAGAGACCCCAGAGGAGGGAGTGCTGACTCTGCTGGAGGAGGGGGAGGCACAGGGGTTCTGGAGAGAGCTCCTGGGAGAGGGGCCCAGCCTTACCACTCCCTGACCATGCAGTCACGGTTCCTTCCCAGGGCCGGCTGACAGATGGAAAAGGGAAGACCATCGACTGCAAGGACGCCATCTTCATCATGACCTCCAACGTGGGCAGTGACGAGATAGCACAGCACGCGCTGCAGCTGAGGCAGGAAGCTTTGGAGATGAGCCATAATCGGATCGCCGAGAACCTTGGTACAGCACGTGGCCTGAGATCTCTGGGCAACTGGTCAAGTGACCAGGCCGCCAGCGCATCTCCTGGGGGCAAGGATGGCAGGATGGCATTGGTGTCCTGGGGCCAGATGAGGGCCCTGGTAGCATCTTTGTTCCTAGCTGGTCCTGACCAGACACCAAGCACCCTACTAGATAGTGGAGGGAGGCAGACAGACTTCCTCAAGAAATCCCCAAGTCTCTTGGGTGACAGGAGGGCTCCAGACAGAGTAATGAACAGAGCCACACCAGGGCATGGGGCCAGGAAGAGGCCAGGGCCTAAGGGGACTGAAGGGATGCACACTCAACAGATGGAGACACTTCGGTGCAATGAGGGGATAGCAGATCAGAAACCGTATGGAGGTGACACAGCCTTTTTCAGCCAGGGAGCCTTCCTGCATAGGAGGAAAGGAGGAGCATGTCAGGCAGGAGGCCACATTTGTCACCTTTCTATTTAGGATTGAACTCTCCAGCCCAGTCTTGGTCCTGACTCTTCTCCTCTCCCCTCCCCTCCTTCATACAGTTCCTACCAGTACATGAGCAGTGGAAGGGCCTAGGAGGTACCCAGTCCAGGCCTCTCATTGTGCAGGTGAGGAGAAGGCTGAGGCCCAGACAGCCTGAGACCTTGACCAGGAACACACAGACCATAAGGGTCAGGACCAGGGCTTTTTTCATGGATAGAGCGAAGGAGCAGGCACAGCTCCCAAAGGTCCTGGGTTTATGATTCTGTCTCTACAGGGGATGTCCAGACTAGTGACAAGATCACCATCTCTAAGAACTTCAAGGAAAATGTGATTCGCCCCATCCTAAAAGTAAGAGTTCTTTGTCATTCCTGCTGGAGCCTCAGGTTGGGGGGGATCCCCTTAGCCATCGTGAAGATACGGAAACCCTCCCACACCCATCTTCCCCAATAGGGTCCAGTAATTCCTTTATACCCTCTGGGTCACTGAGATCACCCCATCCCTAACCTGGCCCTATAGGCTCACTTCAGGAGAGATGAGTTTCTGGGACGAATCAATGAGATCGTCTACTTCCTCCCCTTCTGCCACTCGGAGCTCATCCAACTCGTCAACAAGGAGCTGAATTTCTGGGCCAAGAGAGTAAGAGCGGGGACTGCCTGTGGGTGGGGGTGGGATATATGCCCACTGGAAGTCAGGGAACACTGGGCTGGGAGCACCACCCCCAGAAGAAGGAGCACAGAGGGGTCCAGTGGCTATAGGGCACACAGTCTCTCACAGGCCCAGGCCTCAGGCCAGAGCGATGAGAGATAGAAAGCCCTGGCCCACATTCAGGCATGCTCCTATCTGACCTGTCCCAGGCCAAGCAAAGGCACAACATCACACTGCTCTGGGACCGTGAGGTGGCAGACGTGTTGGTTGACGGCTACAACGTGCACTATGGCGCCCGCTCCATTAAGCATGAGGTGAGCACAGGAGCCTGAGAGAAGTGAGGCACCTCCACACCTCCCTCCCTGGTGCCCCCAGATGCATTCCCTGGGCTCCCAGTCTGTCCAGACAGGCAGGAATTGTTCTTAGAGCAGATGCCTCTTCAGAACCAAAAACAATATAATCAAGTAAAACCCCTATCCTAAAGGGTAACTGAGTTTGAACCCCTACCAGTGTGAGAAACTGGGCTGAGAACCTCAGAAACTGACATTACTGTGTCATTAGCACTGTCCTGCAAGCTTGCGTTGTTAGCCTTTTGCAGATGAAAAAGCTGAAGCTTTGAGTAAGTACTTGCCTGAGCAGTAAGTGATAGAGCCAGGCCTCCAGGCTTTGGCAGTGAAGACCACTTCACCTACCACCTGCAGGTGGAGCGCCGTGTGGTAAACCAGCTGGCGGCCGCCTACGAGCAGGACCTGCTGCCAGGGGGCTGCACTCTGCGCATCACTGTGGAGGACTCAGACAAGCAGCTACTCAAGAGTCCTGAACTGCCCTCACCCCAGGCTGAGAAGCGTCCACCCAAGCTGCGGCTGGAGATCATCGATAAGGACAGCAAGACCCACAGATTGGACATCCAGGCACCACTAAACCCTGAGAAGGTGTGCCACACCCTCTAGTGTCTACCTACCTGCCTATACGTGCCCTGAACACCTAATAAAGCCCCCTTGGCTGTGGCATGGTAACGACCTACCTTCTCCTCCTGCCTCTCACTCCTCTCCAAAGTCAAAAGCAGGAATTTTGCCCTACCCTGATCCCTTCCTGTGGGCCCCACATGTGCTAACAGGTCTCTGGGAGAGGAGCTGCTCCTCCATCCCCTTCAAGCCAGGGGGAAGAGGGAGGTCTCTTATCTCTGTCCTTCAGCGTGATCCCCATGTCCCAGCGTCTCTGGAACTTTATCATGTTTCCTGGAAGCTCAGAAGTATGGCAGCTGAGAACAGATCTGGCTGGAAAGAGACAGGGACCAGGCTGTGACCTGCCACCCTTTACTGGCTGTCATGCAACTGAGTCCCCAGAATGTCTCCACTGGGAATGGAGAAGAATGCAGAGGCCCAGGCACAGAGGTTCTGCATTTAGGCCGTAGCTTCCTCTTTCCCAAGCTCTAAAATTCCAAGGGAAAGGGACTCTCAGGGACACTACTGTGTCATAGCTACTGTTGCTCCCCACCCCATGTTCAGAGGTCAGACCAGAGCATGTCTCTCCAGCCTTGGAACTAAGCCAGCATAGGGCATCTTTAGGAGGAAGGCTGACTGGGCACTACCCTGCCCTACACGGAGACTGGACAGAAGTTACCAAATGACCAAGCAAGGTCAGCTCTACAGGGCCTCCTTCAGGAGACCAACTACGTAGACATTGGGGAACTGCAGGAGGAGGAATCATGGGGTCGGGCTCTGCCCAGATGGCCATGGAGCCTGCCTCAGCCCCGTCTATACTATGGTCCCAGCTAAGTGAACCTGGAATAAACAGCTCCCCTCTGCAGTCTGCATGTTAGTCACTAAGCAGAGGGACTGCACACCATCCCCCAAGGCATTCCACAGACCAGACATGTTCCAGCCTCAACTTAGCAGGGCACAGCAAGGCTTGGTACACCTTGGGAACCATCTGCAATAGCCACCATCGATGACCATGTCATCACCCTCCCCCTGCAGGGCCATTTTGGAACCTTCCTTTGGTGTTACAAAGTCTCTTTCAGGAAGCAGAAAATGGGGACAGGAATCAAAATCCCTTGGGTGATGACAACATGGCGGGTGTGAGGCAGTCAGAAGCCAGAACGTGGGCTCCAGCAGATGCTCCAGCAATCACTGTCCAGCCCCTCAAGGAGTTGTCTGTTGCTTCTTAACCTCAGTGACTGCCATTCTTTTTTTTTTAAATTTATTTTATTTACTTATTTTTGGCTGCGTTGGGTCTTTGTTGCTGCACGTGGGCTTTCTGTAGTTGCAGCAAGTGGGGGCTACTCTTCGTTGCGGTGTGTGGGCTTCTCATTGCTGTGGCTTCTCTTGTTGCAGAGCATGAGCTCTAGGTGCACAGGCTTCAATAGTTGTGGCACGTGGGCTCAGTAGTTGTAGCTCACGTGCCATTCTTTTTTGTGTGTTATTATTATTATTATTATTATTTTACTTCTTGCTCTGAAATAATTTTAGACTTACAGGTAGTTGCCAAAATAAGAGTTCCCATGCACCCTTCACCAGCTTCTCCTAATATTAACATCTTTAAAAATTATTAAATTACAGTATAATTAGTAAAACCAGGAAATTAACATGATACAGTACTACTAACTAATCTGTAGACATTCAAATTTTGCCATGTTCCCCACTGATGTCCTTTTTCTGGTCCAGAATCCAATCGAGGAACCCACATTGCATTTTGTTATGTTTTCTTCATCTCCTTCAGCCTGTGACAGTTCCTCTGGCTTTTTTTGCCTTTTATGACCTTGACACTTTTGAAATGTCCAGATCACTTAATTTGTAGAATGTCCCTTAATTTGGGTTTGCCTGCTGTTTTCACATGATTAGATCGAGGGTCTACATTTTGGGCAAGACTAGCCCACAAGTGATGCTGTGCCCTTCTTAGTGCCTCATAGTGGCAGCACATGGCTGAGGTTGTGTGTGCCAGTTTCTCCACTGTAGGTTTACTAATTTCCCTTTTGAAATTAATAAGAATCTCATGGAAAGATAGGAGCTGTATAGATGTCTTATTTATCCTTAGAATTTTGCCTATTGATTTTTAGCATCCATCAATGGTTCTTACTTATAACAAGCATTAATATTGTATTTGCCTAATGATGACTTTCTCTTTTCTTATTCCATCTATGTTTATTAATTGGTATTCTACTGTAAGGAACAGCTGTCTCTTTTCCCCCATTTATTTATTCAGTAATTTATTTATATTAGTATAAACTAATGGATATTTGTTTTAGTCTATGGGTTATAACCTAATACTAACATAGTTTTTTTTTTGCTCATTTGGCCTAGATTTGGCCATTGGGAGCTCCTAAATTGGCTCCTGTGTTGTTTCAACATTGCCCCATCATTTTTTTTAGTATTGCCTTACTTTCTGGTACCACAGGATATTCCAGGCTCACTCATTCTTTTCTTGTCCCAGCCCTGGCATCAGCTATTTCTCTAAGCAGCTCCTGGTTCCTTTTATTTGAGAATGGTACTTAGAAACTAAGGTGGTATATTCATTGCTACTGGAGTGTTGTTGCTTCTAGGCCTTTTCAGCACACAAAGCTAGGAAATATATGTGTGTATGTTAACACATGTATCCCACACAACTGAATTTATTACTGTATCTGTCCATCTGTATATTATTAAAAACTATGAGTCCGTATTGATGCCTACAGTTCTAATCCAATACCACAAGGTTTGCAATTTGCCCTTATTATTATGACTTTACTATTTTTTTTCTGCTTCTTCCTCTCCTGCTATCTCTGTTTCTTCTCCTCTCACTCTGTTTTTTGTTCAGACTTCCCTTAGAGGCTCTAATTAAGTCAGTCAGTGACAATCCTATATGGAACATTCCTACTGGATAAAGTTCTTATGCTTGGCTGTCAGTCCCTTGGTTTAGTCAGCTGCGGCCAGGAGCAGCAGACATATAACTCAAAACCAGATAATTTTTGTACAAGAAAACCCAATGGCCACCTTTCTGAGAAGAGGGTAGGGGACAGGGTAGACCCTCAGATTCTGAGGAACTTAAGTATCACTTGTAGGGAATCTTAGCTAGACCTCCTAGGTGATGTTGGACCATAGCATCCTAGGCAGTATTCAGCTCACTTGCATTATTTGTTCTATGTAAGAACAAATAGAGTGTAAGATCCAAGAGGGCAGATACCCAGTTATTCCACTCACTATCCTATTCATAGAAGCTGGCACAGAGCCATCACATGATGGCTGCTCTAGGTATTTGGATGGATGGGTGGGCCCTGCAGCAAGCATAGACCTTCATAGTGCGTCCCAGGACAAAACAGTATCATATGTTCATGGAGCACACATTTGTCATGTGTTTGTGGCCAGGCAGTAGAACCTGCTAGACCCTTAGTGAATGGGGCAAAGTAAGACCCCAGATACTTACTGAGTATCCAGAAATACATGAGGCTGGACTTGCAAATGAAAATGTAATATCTTTATTGTTCAAAAGGAAAAATTCAAAGATATGTAGTGATGGTTTTAGGAATTTAGAAAAAAACACATTTAAAGCATAGGAAAATAGAAAATGTCTCAATTAAAGATAAAACCTGAAGTTAAGTAGGAATTCAAAAAACAAAAAAAGGAGAAAGGATAAGAAAACTATTCTTTTTGAAAACACCAATAAAATAGATAAAATCTCCTCAGCCTGATATAGGGAAAAAGCAAAAAAAAAAAAAAAAAAAACCAAGATTAGGAATGAGAAATCAGACATAACCACATATATGAACGTATTTAAAATAATTTTAGGAGAAGTCTGTGGCCACAATTTTGAAAACAGAGCAGATAGATCGTTTCCTAGCAAACACTGACCCAAGTCAGTGGTTTGAATACGCCAATTAGTTACCAAAAGAAGAGATTGGAAAGGTCATTAAAATTTTATCTTTTTAAAAGATTGTTTTCTTTAAACTTTTTAAATTGACATATACATGGAAAAGTACACAAATCACAAGTATACAATTCAGTGAGTTATCCACAAAGTGAATACCACTGTAGCCATCATCCAGCCCAAAAAATAGATCAGAGTAATTTTTAATTACTATAAAAACTGATTCAGATCATGGGAAAAGATGGAAAGATGCTCAGTTGATTTTTAAAGGCCAGCGTAAGATTAATACTCAAACCCGCTAAACTGCCAAAAAGAATGCCATAGCTTAATCTCATCTACGACTATAGAGGCAAAACTTCCAAATAAAACTAAGTTGAATTATACAACATAATTATGTAAGTTTTATTTCAGCAATACAAGCCTCAGTATCAGGAAATTTATTAATATAATCCATTACATCAAGAACTTGAAGATTATTTAAATGTCTGTAGATTAATTTTCTTATTTTGGTAATAGTTCTTATGATTATGTAAGAGAATATCCTTGTTTTTAGAAAATATACATTGAAATATTTAAAGATAAAGACAGTTGGCAAATGTTTCAGGAAGCTAAATTATACATACACACACATACAAAAGTATACATACAGAATGATAAAACAAAAATAAAGTATTTACATGGAGGAAATCTGAGTGAAGGGTATACAGGAACTTTTTGTATTGTTTTTGCAACTTTTCTGTAAGTCTAAAATTATTTCAAAATAAAGTTTTTTTAATGAAAGGAGATGAACATTTTATCAGTATATGCTGAAAAAGCATTTGATAAAATATTACAGCTTTAAGTATGATTTGATAAACTCCAAGTAAAAGAAACCATCAAAAGCCAATAGCAAACATTTTTAATTATAAATACTAAAGCTACTTCTGTTAAAGTCTGAAATAAGACAAGAGTCAACACTGCTTTGAAAATTTAGGTGTAAATAATTAGGCAAGAAAAGTGAGTAATTAGTATCTATTGGAAAATAATAAATGATCTTGTTTTGTTGATATGTGACTGTGCTTTTAGGAGATCTAAGAGGCTATAAGTAAAA